AGTGAAGTACACCTTAACCGGTATTGTATTAAATGTGTTCTACTTGTCGCAGCTCACTCCCTTCATCTGAAGGAGTGAGCAGCGTGGTACGCGCACGGAGCCGCTCATCTCCTTCTCTCCTCCCACCTCCTCAACCTTGTGTAACATGTGTGATAGAAAGCTTTAGTGGCTCATTAAAAATATGATGAACTCATATGGTGATTGATTAATTTGGGATGAGTATTTTTGGCAATTACACAAATTTGGGTTTTGGTTCAAAATTAAATCCCATAAAAAGTTCATAAATACATTTACAAGCGACTGTTACTGTTCATTTCAAACCACCCAGCTTTCTGAGAGCTCAAGATTAGCACTTAAAATACTTAAATTACATAAACATCACAGGAAATTAGTGTTGAGTGATAGCCAGGCTATAACACGTGCGATTCTTAAATTACATAAACATCACAGGAATTGTGAGTGATGCAGGCTATGCTGGCAGGAGAAGCTGGCCCCCAAAATTATTGCTTTGCAGATGCCTCCTGCTGGCTTGCAGCGCCCCAGTTTTCAGCCAAATGGCGCTAAATCGCTCAATCGTGATGTTTAAACCATGACTCAGACGCAAAATGGGTTTTTTTGCTGGCTCGTGTTCCTTCACAGGTCAAAAAAAAACCCTGTACTCCTGCATTGCATCTTATTATTTAAACTTCAGCAGACTGCCTCACATGCTGGCGGAGTGCATATTTTCTTTATACACTCATTACAGAGGCATGATGCCACTATCAGGCCAATGCAGCTTCTCTCTAATAGTACCGTCATGTAAGTTATTGCAGGATGCAAACACTCGCGTGTAACTGTTAAAGGGAGATAAGAGCTGTTGCTAAATGTTATTTTTAACGTCTCTGTAGGGAATCTAATTGTAGCGTACATCACGTGTTTGTTCGTGTTCTACCTGATATTGTTTTCGCATCTGTCTCCTTGAAGGCCCCTGGTTTGTTTCATGATTGTAGCCATAGGCTGCTGCTGAATTTCACAAATAGAAAGACATTGCTGCCATCTACTGGTCATTAGTCATAATTACAGGTTGGAGGGCGTTCACCCTCTGCTCTCGCGATATCTGCGCAGTTGCCCGGACCAAAACAGGAATTGAGACATGGAGCGAGTGTTCGGCGGAGTTGAGGGGTGAGAATCAATTAAAATAAGCAGCAAAACTCTTCCAAGTTTATTGTGATGAAGTGTCACGTAAGGCTTGTGTGTATTACAGTCATTTATTCAAGTTTTTAGGTCATTTAGAAAGTGAAGAGTTTTTTTAACGGCTGTGCGCGAGTATGTGTGTCTCGTGATCACTTCTCTTTTGTGGGCTGTTTCTGTCAGTTAAAATGTCATCATTTATTTTTTTTAAAGTATGCTATAAATACGTATTTGTCTAAATGAGGTTTGTGGGGCCTTTTTTGTGGATCTATTTAAATTGTGTGTGTGTGTTTCTATCAGGGAAGATGCATACAATGGTCTTGTATAGTGATGTCTAGTTGCTTTGGTGGTTAGCAGCTCAGTTCATGTATTTGTCAATTCCTTATTAGGGGAGGAACGCACTCCAAAGCAGTGTTGTTGTCAGGGGATGGGAAGGTGTTGGCAGAGACGGCGGGACCATCCACCAACCACTGGGTGAGCGGAAGTGCTGATGGAGGCAGGTGGAGAAATTTGGAAAGGGGAAAGAGGGATGGTGGCCGGATGAGGGGTTTGCACATTAAATAGACTGTCTTTATACTTGTCTTATGAGTGAATACATTGTTACATTGTGTTATACTGTAGCAAGTTCCATTTATTTTGCAACACTTTTTGTCTCTCACAGCTGGTCGGAGTGGACAAGTGTATCTCAACCATCGACGACATGGTCCAAAGAGCCAAGGTCGAGGCGGGGCTGGATCCAGGCACGCCGTTATACTCCCTGGTCAGTCTGGCTATGTGCCGGTGCAGGTTGCTGATTGAAATAATGTGAGCCCTAACATCTGATTTGTGTGCATCTGCGTACGCAGGGCATGTCTCTGAGCGGAGGCGAGCAGAAGGATGCCATCGACAGACTCATCGCTCTCATGAAGGAGCGGTTCCCCAGCCTCAGCGAACGTTACTTCATCACCACAGACGCCATCGGTGCCATGGCCACGGCCAGCAATCGAGGTAAGCTGCCATTTTCTGTTCTCGCTTCATACAGCAGCCAGTCCTCAGCAGGAAGACAGAGCTGCCCCAACCATAAATGTGTTCATGTAACAAACACAATGACACTGTCCTACGGTATGATTGTTGAATATTTGTGTTTAAGAGCTGCTCTTAGCCTAAAATGTTACAGCAGGTCGCAGTTTAATACTTTACTGTTTTAGGTGTGGCTCTATGTATCATCTTTACTGTCTGACCCTGAGCTTTATGGCTTGATGGTATCAGCATATCAGCGTTATCATCAAGATCTTTGTCTTCAGGGGGCATAGTCCTGATATCAGGGACCGGATCAAACTGCAAACTAGTCAATCCTGATGGCTCGCAGATCGGCTGTGGGGGCTGGGGTCACATGATGGGCGATGAGGGATCAGGTAACTATGTGGGAATATGTGAATTATTCATATCTTTATAGATCAGACTGAGCTATCTGTCCATCTTCCCAGCCTTCTGGATAGCTCACCTGGCTGTGAAGACGGTGTTCGACGGCAAAGACAAACTGGTCGCTCCTCCTCACGACACCACGCATGTTAGAAAAGCCATGGAGGAGTACTTCCAGGTCAGAGTCCCAAAAGTTCGGAGAGATGTGTCGACATACACAGCGATACCGTCTAATGGGTAAAACTCTGTTTATCGTAGGTGTCAGATCTGATGGGCATGCTGCCACATCTCTACAGAAACTTCCAGAAGTCTCATTTTGCAGGGTTCTGCAAGAAGGTAGCTGAAGGTAGGAGGGTGTAACTCCCTGGTCTGCTTTGAAATGTGAAAGATTAAGCGGTAAGGTAGAAGTCAGACTTTGTGTGTGTGTGTGTGTGTGTTAAAGGTGCCGAGGCAGGGGACGCTCTCTGTCGGCATGTGTTTGCTGAAGCTGGACGAGTCCTGGCAAAACATGTAGAAGCAGTCTTACCTGCAGCGCAGGAGGTAACACACCCACACAGTCACGTGCTGTCACCTGTTTGTGATCACGTTTCTCTGAATCGCGTCTTCTTTTATTTTCCTGACAGCCACTATTGAGCGGCGACCTCGGCCTGCCAATCCTGTGTGTGGGCTCGGTGTGGAAGAGCTGGGAGCTCCTGAAGCCAGGTCAGTGTCTCCATGGACCCTCATCATGAAACCCTCCAACTTATCCACTTCCTCTGCCTGAGTAGCTTCTATCCTGAAGAAGTCTGAGATTCTCCGTCTCTCCCCAGGTTTCACTGAAGTCTTGGATAAACTGGCATCATCTGACAAGCACAAGGGTCATTTCTGCAGCTACAGCCTTCTGATTTTGCAGCGGTCCTCGGCGCTCGGTGGCGCCGCCCTCGGAGCGCAGCATTCAGGTGCTACCATAGCCATGGATTATGCCGCCAATGCCAAAGTCTTCTATCAACACACCTTCAGCAGCAGCGCATGAGAATGAGTTGCAGGAAGACTTGCCGGCCAGTTTTTTAATTTTTAACGTGATTGTTTTGCACTTGATTTTGACACTAAAGAGTCAGATCTCAGTATGCTCATGTTAATTTTATCGTACTGTGCAAAGACTTTTTAATGCTCGTTTGCATTTGTGATTCATAATAAAAATGAGGTTGAATTTATAGAAGATCTTTGCATTGTTGTGGATCATTTTAGACTGATTGATGTGGGCTTTCCTTCATCATGTTTTAGCTAAATTTCATCTAGTTTAGTGTCACATTTAGAACACTGAGGCGGGTCACACTTAGAGGCAAACAGCCACACTCACATTCTCACCTACAGCCAATCTAGCATCAACCAACAGCCCAACGGTGTCTTTGGAAGAGAATCTGACTACCCAAGAGAACCCATGCAGACACTGGGAGACCATGCAAGCTCCGCAGAGAGGCCTCTGCACTTCGATGCCAGTGTGTAATTTGAAACTGTTGCTATAAACCCACAACTGAAACTACCACAATGAAAGTGGAACAGGCCAACAAATAACAAACATTTTTTGTGACAGTGCAGATGCAAAACAGCAACCCAGAAGATTTTTTAATATAAAGGTGAGCATTCCACTTTTTAGGGAGCCGCAGATTTGATCAGCTTAACCAGCTCCAGCTGCATTTCAACTCCTGAGGACAAATATGTAGCAATAGAAGAAGAAAAGTTAAAAAAAAAAAGACCTAAAACATGACAGTAAGTATTAAAAAAATAATGATTTCTTATAGTGACATACATTCACATTTGAGCCCCTGAAGCAGGGAGCTGTTTGTACCAATTGGCTGTAATTCCACAGTAAAATTCAGTGGAATAAACAAATTTAATTAAAAACATTTGGCTTTCACTCAGAGACACGCTGGACGGTCTCTAGTCTTCAGTTTGGCTTTAATACAGCGATGAAGCACTAAGATTACTCGAGGAGGAGCCAAAAAAACCATCAAGCATGCTTACATCGGAGCACCGGAAGGTAAATATGTAGCTTGATGGGGAGTTGGAGTGCAGCAGCAACATGTTGTTGTTCAACTGAAATTCACAGGTTTAAAAAGTCCAACAGAAAAGGAGAATTAAACTAAAACTTTTATTTCAATTTGAAATAAGATCTGATCTTAATTGTCTAACCTAACAGTGGGAAACAACAGACAAACAAATTGTTATTTTTCTTTTAAA